AGTCACGTGACACTGGAGAGAGTAACTATTGTGTGCGCGAGCAGAACAGAATGCATTTTAATGGATGTGCATCATTTTCCAGTGTGTGACTGCATAATTTACGAAACGGAAAAAAAGACGTTCACCTGCAAGATATTGTGATGTAAGTAAGCCTTTTTCCTGACATCAGGATTTTCTCATTTGATATCATTTGTGTACTGTAACCATTACCATCCTGCTGGAATCATTTTCAGTTGAGGGGTTTGTGGCCGTATGTGATTTTATTGTAACCGTCGCCATGGATAAATTTCAAAAATAGGCATACTGTGTGCTTGAATTGCAGCGTTGCGCACTTTTTATGACCACGTTGTGATGTACTTGATTTGCATTGTACTAATCGTAACCATTTATTTATTGAAGGGAACTGAATACGGACGTCATATTTTTGTAAACTTTGTTTTTTTCTTTATTCGTGGAGAGAAGAAGTAGACCTCCAATTAATGTTGCTGGGCATTCTTTTACGTTCTATCGCCTCAAGTTTCTTCCAATTATGTAGTGTCATGTGACTTTATATTTTATGGCAGTCTCACTGCCTTTGTGAATAAATGTGCTTCCTTACACAAAGTTGTATCCAACATCATTCTCCTGTTTTCAAGTCCACACGTAGACGAAATTATTGGGGATGATGATGAGTGTTTGTTGTGAATTAGTACATCAACTAGTGACCTCTCTCTCTCTTTTTTTTTTTTTTTCTCCCCATGACAGATACTAGAGAAAAAAGATGTTGGCACAGTGAGACAACACATCAGCTATTCATATACCGGGTCTCCAGTTTATGAGCTTACGGTCGTGCTTACATTGCGTTATCGGCCGCTGCTGTTGACGTAGGCGGGACTTTCACGGGCGAGTCAGTTTCGGTGCCGCTAGTAACAGCGAACTACGAATATTTCTCGTCACTAATACATGTTATTACATTAATTGTTTTTACCTTAAATCACAAAAAGAAAATATTCGACAATTTCCCAAGAAGAACTTCGTCGCGTATTTCGAAACATGTGAACGAGATGTGAAACCTGCTTGCAAGCACAAGGAAGTCACTTTGAACATCTTTTGTGATTTTACTTGGATATTCCATTTTTACTTCGCGTTATTACACCTATATTTTTATTAACTAGGTTATATGCACAAAATGATGCTATAAGAAATCTATTGTCGTTCAATTTAACCACAAACCCTTTGGCATGTTGTGTTTTCTAACCTTTTCATTCGAATGTGCTGTTTGAAAAGTAACTGAGATTGTAAGTAAGAAGCAACAGCCGAGTCTTACAGCATGGTTATGTTTGGCTTCGTTTCCTCACAATAATGCCAGTCCGTATCGGTTTTTAGAACTCAACATGATTTATATCATCTGATGTTAAATGATCTAATCTGATGATGGCATGGGAAAGATAACTGCACACAAATAACTCTTCTGCATTGTTATTTAGAGTACCTACTTACTCACTTGTGTCTGTTAAAAATATTGTCATTGTTTCTGAGGATAGGAGGGATGATAAAATTATTGATAAGCCTGAGACCAACCTCATGGCTCTGCGAAGAACAATCTGTCGGACGATTCATTCAAGTACAGGTGTTGAACAATGTGCCCACAGGCTAATGAAGATAAAGAAGTCTGGACAGGAGGTAGAGATGTGTCAGGCAGTTCTAAATTGCTGTGTGCAAAAAACAGTATGAGAAGTTCTATGGGTTTTTGGCTCAGGTAATGGCCATTTCCAGCACTGTAGAGTAAAACATTAAGTAAGAGGGTGTTGAATTTCTTAGAATCCATTATATTTACTTAGTGACAGAACACATCTACATCATCAACATAAATATGCAGTGCTTAAATGGAAACTGCTGTAACAGTGACATTGATACAGCTGTTGAACACCTCACAGATGTTCTACGAGGGTTGACATTTATTTTGCAGAATGGTGCTTTATCTTTGTTTACAGCGTGATCTTCGGGCTGCAATTGATAGGAGCGCTTTCTCATGCATTGGTGTGTAGCCCTTCGCAGTGCCAGCTCAGTAGCCTACTGCGTGCCTAGTGCTTGCGACAAGAGTGTGTCGTCGGTGTGCAAGTCATTTTGATTTCCTTTGCCATGGATGATCTACAGCAAGAGCAGCATTATGGCATTCGTTACTGCATTAGGCGCGGTTTAAGTGCTTCAGAAACACTTAAGGAAGTGAGTGAAGCTTATGGTGAAGAGTGTGTGAAGAAAACTGCTATATTCAAGTGGCATAAACGATTCGAAGAAGGACGAGAATCTGTTGCAGATGACCCAAGACCAGGTCAGCCAACATCTTCCACAACACCTGAGCAAATTTCATGAGCACAGGATATCTTGGATCAAGACAGATGAATTACGCTTGGACAGCTGGCCGCGAGAATGAACATTTCATAAGGAAGTACACACAAGATTGTCACAGATTATCTGGGAATGTCACAGATCTGTGCCCGTTGGATTCCACACAATCTGACCCCGGAACAGAAACAGAAACAAGAAACATGTTGTTCTGTCAAAGGAGAATCTGCAACAATTTGAGAGGGAGGGTCAAGCCTTTTTGAACCACATAGTCACTGGGGATGAGACGTGGGTGTATCATTATGATCCCTAGATGAAACAACAGTCGAGTGGAAGCATTCTTACTCCCCACAACTGAAAACATTTTGAAGAACTCAGTCTGCCGGTAATCGAATAGTGCTTGTTTTTTTCGATGTGAAAAGCATTCTTGTGACTCATTTCGTGCCACACGCAACAACAATGAACAAAGAGGCCTATGCTCGAGTTCTTAATCAGAAGCTTTGAGAGAAACACCCGGAATTTCGGGAAGGAACGTGACTTCGGCGTCAAGGCCCCACACGGCCCACTGCGCAGCATCGCAAACAACGGGTTCCAGGAAGCTTACGAGGCATGGATAAGACAATGGAAAAAGTGCTTACACTTCAAAGGAGAGCATTTTGAAACGGAAAAAATGTCAGATGAAGATTAAATTTTTTTTAGTTCATTCCGCGAATTAAATGGTCAACCCTCGTATATTCAAGTTTATGACCTACATTTTACAGATGTTCAATGAGGGCACTGTGAGTGACCTGGCACATAACATAATTGTCTTCATTTTCAGTCCACACATTAAGCAAATGGAGGGTGACTGTATCCTCCTACCAATTTCTGACATAATGGATGCCAATGTTGGCACATACACAGCATTCTTTATGTACCCCCAAGAGATATCTTAAAGGGTAGGAAGGTCATGCATACATGGTGGCCAAGTTATAGCCTTGCTCTTGCCAATAATTGTTTCTGGAAACTTGCAGTTTAACACGCCTTCACTTCCTACTGAAAATGTGGAAGCGTTCTGTCTTGCTGAAATAGCATGTCAACAGGACACTCTTCTGAAATAGGCATGAGGAATTCCTCTACTTTAGATGCCATTATAACAACTGTGAGTGTAGTGCTTCTGATGCAAAGATATTGAAAGTACAGCAGCACAAATTATGAACTTGATCATATATCCTTCTCAAATGCATTTAGTTCTCGTTCCCTTGCCTTTAGGTTTGCGTGCTTTATTGCGTTGACTTGGTATACATTTCTATGCACACTCTGTATATAAGCAGATCCTAAACTGAAATAAGGAGAAATATTTGTGAAAACTTGTTGCAGTAAAGTGTATTGATGGAGTCAACAGCAGTTCAGATGATATGAAACAAACATAGAACATTTGTAGGTGCTTTCACCACAAAGCAATAGAAAAATGCTTTTTGCTTTGCCACATTTGTCCGTGCATGTCTGTGGCCTTTAGAGAATCACTGAATGGGTTTTAATGACATTTATTTTTCCTGGCTTGACTCCTGATGTAATTTAATGTAAAAAGAAATGATAGTTTGACTGTGTAATGTCAATTGTAAACAATGGTTTTCCTCTCTCTCTCTCTCTCTCTCTCTCTCTCTTTTGGCACTACAGTCCTTGGTGGACCCTGGCCTCCTCCAAAATCTTCCTCCGTTGCTCCTTATCCTACGCCTTCTGTCTCCAGCTTCTAATGCCCAGATTCTTCAAGTTGTCTTCTGTGTACTTGTGTTGCAATTAGTGGTTAATAAAGTGATTCTTGTGGTTCTGACTCAAAGGAAATTCAGCACAATGTCTGGCTGGCTAGGAGTCAAACTGATACCTGCATGAAATAGATAAATGAAGAAAAAGCATTATCAAACTTAGGAATGCTCCATGTTAACCTGGTGTCAGTAAAACAACCAGTTCATTCTTGCCACAAATTTTTGATTTATGGAGACCCTTGTGAAAATGTATAGAGTGTGAAGAAATGAAAATGACTGACTGCAGTTATTACCTGTAATTTGAATTGTTGCAGGAAGTGGACTGTTGGAGTGTTTGAAATGATGATCAACCACAGGTCCTTTCAATATAACGAAAATGGAATCGATGCAGCACTCTGTCGGTAAATATTTAGCATTTGGAAAGAGATCTGATATATGTGTTCTGTGAATATAATTTTCCTTTCGAAAAAATTCTATAGGAATTCATCATGGTTAACTCATGACTGTTTTAATGGCAGTAAAATAGGTGTACACGTTTGAAACATTTGGAGAAATAACTTTGGCAAAGAAACAGATTCCACTCTTTAATGAAGCAAGTTTCTGCAGGACAGCATTTTAATGTAAGCGACAGAGAAGTAAAGGGTTCCACAAGCTGGAAAACGTGAAATGTTTAACATGGACAACCTTCTTATCAATTTTGTGACATACCTAGGAGATTTTCATGCAAATTAGACATTCACCAGCCCACTTACAGCAACTTTGGTTAGCATTAAAACATTAATTGTGGATGCATGTTTAGTGATTACTTTCTTTTTATGGCAAATAGAAGAATGAACATTTCCCTTACAGCAACATTTTGCATCATATGCCAGACATTCCACCATAGTTCGTGGTCAATGGGTAGAAAAACTTTGAAGAAGGATCCAAACATTTTCTTGGGTGGGGGTAAAAGGTGGAGCACAGTTTATCAAGAAACATCCATTTTTCGACATGCTTCTTTTACCATATCGTTCATCATATAATAATATGCTATATTACACGTTTCAGTTCTAGGCTGTGTCTTATTCATGTAATGTACTTTTGAAAATCAACTACAGTGAGAAGACTAATACAGTTTTTTTTCTTTTTTGAGATTGTTTGTAGATAATATGATTGTTTAAGTCTTCAGTAAGCAAAAATTGTGATTTACATCACCAGCAGAGCAACTTGTGTGTAACAAATGTCATAGCAACCTCACAGTAATAGGTTCACTAATACAGTGCATAATGTACTGCTGTCAGATCGAAGGACGGTCTCAGTACATTCCATGAAATTGCCAACAACTTTTTCCAAACCTTGAAAGCATGTTAAGTGTCAAATGTCTCCCATTGAAAGTAATATTGTTTAATAAATTAAGGTACAGACCAAAATTATAGCCAAGTGAAGGCATGTGTTTCAAATTCCTTGCATTTTCTGCAGAACTGAAGGTTCTTTTAAATTGAGATGTTCTGACTTCTACCCTGTCATGCTTTACTCTGCAATAAACACTCTGGTACATATTACTAAAGTTTGTGATTCGTCCTACAGGGCATAGAAGATGATGCCACATCCAGTATATTTTGAGGGTGAGCAGCTCGGTTCCATTGAAGAACATTTTGGATTGAGCGAGGTTACGTTTGTGTGGTAACAACAATGAGGTCAGGAAAAACTGTTTTTCTAATTTTTTAGTATGTGGTGCATAGCAACGGTTTATTTCTAATGCGAGGTTTTGGAAGCTAAGAGCTGTGACGCTTTCAAGGTCTTAATGTAATTAAGAATGTTGGTGATGTCCTTATGCCTCAGCTGATGTTTTTTCACTGTAACCGAGACAATGCATGCAGTGGGATTAAATATTCATACTGCCATACTCTTGGGAATGTTTATGGACATAAACTCAATAATGGTCATTGTGGTGATTTACGCAACATGAGGGTTATCATTCACTAGAAATTATGTAATGACCAAGGAAACTGACCACCTTTAGCCTGGTACCTTCTTACAGTAACCTGGCCTGAAATAATGGAATTGCTTGCTTGTTACTGGAAATGTCCATAATCTGCAATCAGTACAAAATTATTCTTGCACCGTTATAAATAGAATATAACTTAAGAATGATTTTTATGCATTAAAGCAAGGGGGAAAAGTTTGTTTACATGACATGGGTTCTCTGTTTCCGAGCTGCAGCAGTCTTTTCATTTCCAGAATTTTCTCTTGGAGTGAAAATTTCATAGCGAGTGCTCAGATGTTCTCTGTGTCTTCCTGTTTGTAGGAAATTTTAATTTACTTGAAGATTGAGACATAATGCATATATCATATCTTATGTTCTAAATGCCAGACTTCATTAAGACTTATTATTCATACCCATAGTAACTGTTCTTGGCCTTTATAGGCTAAACTCTGGAATGATTATTGTTATCACCATATTTCACTATGGACTTCATCATTGCTATTTTCCAATTTTCAGGCTTTTATTCTGAAATGTCATGATGATGGTATATACACTCTGGATTGTTGGGTTTCTGGACACTGCCTATTATCTGATAGCGTAATGTAACATTTTGAGGAGTGAATCTGCCCTTTTCTTGATGTGTAGTGGAGGTGAAGGGAATTTGTAGTCTCCATTAGAATGAGCTAATCACAATCAGTGGTTGAGATTAGGTCTTGTAACATCAGATGATGGACGAGATTCAAATGCCCCAACAATACAGATTTAGGCATCTAGTGTGAAATTCAGCTTATTTTTAAAATATACGTATGCATATTGTTTTATAGTAACTACCATTTTCAGATTTCCAGAAGATATTCATTACTCTAATATCCTCTGCCTCTTTGTTTGGTTAGGGTATGTTGGGGGGCAGGGGGTGGATTGGATTCATCTGGCCCAGGATAGTGTCCAGTTGCTGACAAATGAACACAGTGTTGTATACAAACCTGGGTGGTAGTGATATTGGAGGTGGGTGAGACGAGGGGTTACCGTTGATTAATGAACTATACTTTTAATATGATTATATATTTTACAATTAGTATTTAAATGAGTTTACCGATATGGTTACAAAACTATCATTAATTATCAAGATATACACATATAAACCCTAAAACATAAATCAATATACAGTGAAACCTCTATCCATCGTTCCCGGAACTATCGTTTTCCCGGATGCATCGTCCGTTTTGTTCGGTCCCGAATACATCCCATATAAAATAATGTTACATTTTCCCGCTTCTATCGTTCCTCGAACTATCGTTTTATCGCATCGATCGTTCAAAAAGTCCCGGCCCACAATTTTCCCGCAATGATCGTTCCTGAGAATTTAAAATGCTGGGTTTAGAGATAAATTATTGGAGTGGTGAGGAAGAAGAAGAAGACGACGAATGCAAGCCCGAAGCTTTGCCGAGTTTTGCCGAAGCGCACGCTGCATTGGCGAAAGTGAAGTTGTTCTTTTATGCGCTTAATATTAGTGAACGTGACGAGGAAAACATTTTGAACGTGGAAAGTGCTCTGTTTGGTCTAAAACGTAAAGTTTCGACAAACCAGTTGTCCATTAAAGACTTTTTTGGTAAAAAGAAGTAACTTTGAAAGAGAAACATTGTTTTTTTTTAAAATTTTAATGCTTTCCCGCATCTATCGTTTTCCCGCATTCATCGTTTTTATTTCCCACCCCCGCCGAAAACGATGCATCGAGGTTTCACTGTACTTATAACCTATATTTAACTATAACATATTCAACTAGAACCAGTACCTAATCTGATACTTCCTTACAATTGTCAGAAGTACTTTACTAACTTTGTAATCATTCTTGAATGACATTAGTGACGTTTAGTGACAGAAACCCAGACAATACTCACATACGATGACCACAGTGCACAGCATGCTTGTTAGTGTTGGCTTCCCAAATACTGATCTCGATGAATACTGCTTGATATTTGCCTTATTTTATACTAATAAAAGTATTACAACTTCCGGGGAGCGGCAGCGTGAAATCTGAATATTAGTCTCTGATTGGTGGATAGTTTGAATGACTTATGCTTTCACCGATAATTACCTCATGTTTTATTATGCATGGAGTGTGACAGTGCGTAGATTTCATAGGTCAACCTTGAGTCATTGTTAGCATTTTATCTCAAGACCACAATGTCCTGTTGGTCATTACAATAATTTACTCATTATACTAGTCATACAAAGAGGTGAAAGTCATACTGTTGAAATTTAAGGCGTGGGACCATGTTGGTCTCCAAACACAACTACCCCAACCTTAAATGAAAATCATAGCTCGTTTGGGCTATAGTTTCATCAGGTCGGTTAAGGCAAGTGCTTTTAGCTGTATTGTGAGCCCAGCCGGTAAATCTGTATGTTTACTTTTTAAGTCGTGCAGTGCAGTCATTGCAAGTGCTGGACTCACTTAACATGTTTCAACTTGTTGCGGAAGTAATTCTTCAGTTATCGGACGAACTTCCTCTGCGATTGTTGAGAGGGCGGTCTGCTTCCGCCGAAGAGGTTTCTGCGCAGATTGTTTCCTGGACGCCTTGCCATTTCACCATGCAAGCATCCTGGTGCAAGTCGCTTTATGAGGTCCTTTGCAATATTTTAATGTAAGCAAAATTATTATTAACAAATGGAGAACAGATTCTGAAGGTTGAATTTGCTTCCTCACGATATGTCTGTAATTGTTGGCTTTCTTCATTCGAGATCAGCTGAGGCAACTTTGGTGCAATCACATGACCAGAAGTTTAGGTAAAATTTGAGTAACTGTCCATAACTGGAAGTAGTATAAAACTTTTGGAAAAATACTACACATGAATATTAACTTGAAACTCGATGCCCACCTTGGATTTCTTGAGAGATGACAGGTATCCAAATAGGAGTTAAATCCAAACTAGGCTGGCTGATGGGATTGGCGAGTAGTGCCATGTGTGCAGCCTCCTTGTATTTTCTGTAGATGGTATTGGGTTCAGTTAATAATACTCTGGCCCCATCCCAACAGACATGATGATCTTCTTCGTACGCATATTGGGCCAATCTGGATTTCTCCAGCAGGCCCTGTCTGGAATTATATTTGTGTTCTTTTAAGCGTACCTCCAGAGGTCTGCTGGTTTCGCCGATATACCATCTACCGCAATCACATGGTATTCCATACACACACTGCCTAGTCTGTCTCTCGGCTGTTTTTGGTCTCATGGAACTTTATAAACCACGGAGAGTGTGTCCGGTTTTAAAGATTGTCCTGATGTTGTATCGGTTCCCAATTCTTCTAAATTTTTCAGAGACACCTCTGACATATGGGATAACCGCCGTACCCAGAGGAGTTCTGTCAGGAGAAGGCCGGATGTTTTTTTCGGACTTAATAACAGATTCAATTAA